AGAGAGAGAGAGAGAGAGAGAGAGAAAGTTATCAAATCTCTCACAAGTGGGCAATACTACTCAGGTTGACAAGCATAATGTGCTGAACCATAACTTACTGACCCCTACAGCCGCTATTTCACTAGGTCATGCCTGAAAATGGAGAATAAAAAAAACCCCAAACATCCATAGATCCACATCGAATGAGGGCTTTAATTGACCTTGAATTTCAAGACGTGTATAAAACCCTTTATAAAACACTCCATTTACATTTTTAAAAAAATAAAATCACGTGCACTTATCACTATATGGCATTGGACAGAAGGACGAGAGCTCAGCCGTTGCTGGATCGACAGCAACAACAACAACAACGTTTTATTTTAAAATGTCATGTCAAAATCCCATAAGTTGGCTACACTCATGATTAATGAACAAAAATTTAATCAGCATGACGGTCAAACTCAAAGAAAAACAATTTCGCCGTTTGATCAACATATTTAGCTTTCACTTGTCGCGTTACGCCAATCTCTATAGAAGCGTGTTCCTGACAGTTTGTCTCAGAATTAATAAGTAAAATATCCCCCCCCCCCCCCCCCTAAAAAAAGAGAAAGAAACAGCCCCAAAATATGCATATTAAATTATTGTTGGTGATTTTGCGTCCTCATCCACACATTTAGATCATTTAGGAGGCGGGTTTCGACCTTTTCTGTATGGGGCTCACAGAATTCTACACTGTGATGTGGCTAGACGGCCAGAGAACGTCAGTATAAAAACATATAGGTCTGTCCCCGTCGTTTTATGCAAGAAAAATTCTGAAATTATGCAAAATGAGCCCAAAAATGTGAAATTATACGATTCTGTTAATATTACCAAAGAATGATAAAGGAAAATAATCCGAAATTATGCAAAAAATTATCAAATTTTGCTAAATTATGCGGGGCGCATAAAACCACGGGGACGTATAGGTTATAGGCCAGCCCGGGCTGAGAGGGATGCGTGGTGTCAGCAGAAAGACACTGAGATACTCGTTCATATTTGGTCGCTTTTAAGCACAAAGTGGCTATCCCATAAAATGCTGTTTGGAAAAAAATCGAAGGTAAAGATTTTGGACCCTTGTTCAGTTTCTTTAAAATATAAGGAGAGTTTTCCCTATAACAAAACAAATATACACACCAATGAAACCAAACTTCTCCTATAGGTAGGGCAATGCCCACTTTTGGTGTAGGTCAAGATTTCTGGAAACCCCCGGAATCTGGGTTACCGCTTGTTCTTAAAAGCGACCATTTTGGACAATCATTCACAAAACAGAAGTTGCATAATATTTCATATTACAAAAGTCGTTGATTGCCTCTGTAAGCTTTAGTTTTAGTTTTAGTAAGAGTTTTATGGCACCTACAACACAATAAGGTCATATAAGTGACGAAGATTAGATGTGTTACAAGAGAGTAACAGACACAAAAAAGAAGGAGGAGAGATAAGGATGATAGATGTTTGATAGGAAAGAAGGAGCAAACTACACCAGAGCACCCACCAACCACCAACTTTAAGCTTTAGGGGGAAAAAAATGAAAACTGTGTATGAGTAACGAAGTTATACCTCTTTTTTTTTTTAAAGTGCCTCAGTGAGTTAAACTTGAAGGAAAGAGATTGTGAATGGAAGGTCCTTGACTTGAATTTTAAATTCTAACCGTAATTTCGCAGGGACGGCAGGGCGGAGTTCCAAAGTCACGTGATGCTGTGCCGGGAGACGTACCAGCCCGCCCCCTGGTGTCGGGAGCGGGAGCACAAGGTCGAGGTCAAACAGTGCACGGTCTGGGGCGCCGGCGGGAACAAACACAGCACAGAGACCAGGCCCAACAACTACAGGATCACGTATGTCCGTGGTTACATGTTATTTATTGTTATAATAATAATGATAATCATAATGATAATAATGATGACAATAATAATGATAATGATAATGGTAATTATAATGATAATAATGATGATAATAATAATGATAATGGTAATTATAATGATAATAATGATAATATTAGTAAAATGTTATAATAATAACGATAATTATAATAATAATAATAATAATGATAATAATAATAATATGATAATAATAATATTATAATATTAATACTATAATATATATTAATAATAATAATAATAATAATATTAATAATAATAACGATAATAACCGTAATAACAATAATAATAGATTGCATTTATATAGCGCTCTTTCCAATACTAGCACATTGTATTTAATCCAAAGCTCAGAGCGCTTTCCACCAATCACATGATCATTCACACAGGAGAAAGCATTTCACAGAAACGAAACAAGAAAAACCAGTTCAACCACATGAAGAGCAACTTTCACAACCGTCCATTCTTGTGTCTGGTACATGTTGTGGTTCTTATCTGTGCTCCATCTAGATCTAGTGTTATTATTCCATTGTTGTCCACACATCAACGTTAGTTTGTCTAGTGTTCTCGATAAGTTGCACTCACAGAATTCTGTGGTTGTACCTAATGAGTGATTATTATTTTCTGAAGGTTAGCCATTACACTGCCGACGCTGGTAATGCAAGCCCTCTGCAAAATGTTATATGGTCGCTTTTAATTAAGGACAAGCGGGCTAACCCAGATTTCGGGGGTTTCCAGAAATCTTGACCTACACCAAAAGTGGGCATTGCCCTACCTATAGGAGAAGTTTGGTTTCATTGGTGTGTGTGTGTGTTTGTGTGTGTGTGTGTGTGTGTGTGTGTGTGTGTGTGTGTGTGTGTGTGTGTTTGTTCGGTCATAGAGAAAACTCTCCTTGTCTTTTAAAGAAACTGTACAAGGGGCAAAAACTTTACCTTCAATTTTCTCAAAACAGCATTTCTTGGGCTTCTTTTGAGAAAATCCCTCAGAAAATCGAAGGTAAAGTTTTTGGACCCACCTTCTACCTTGTGTGTCTGTGTGTGTGTGTGTGTGTGTGTGTGTATGTGTGTGTGTGTGTGTGTGTGTGTGTGTGTGTGTGTGTGTGTGTACACAATCATCAATACCCCCCCCCTCCTCTCCCAGGTACATCGACGAACATAAGACAAGCGGCCCGCCTTCTACCCTCTGGAACATCTCTCTCTCTTTCTCTCTCTGTGTGTGTGTGTGTGTGTGTGTGTGTGTGTGTAATCGTCATTATTATTGAAGTCATACCCCCCCTCCACCACAGGTACATAGACGAGCACAAGACAAGCGGCCCCGCCTTCTACCCTCTGTGTGTGTGTGTGTGTGTGTGTGTGTGTGTGTGTGTGTGTGTGTGTGTGTGTGTGTGTGTGTATGTATGTGTGTGCAATCGTCATTATTATTGAAGTCATACCCCCCCCCCCCCAACCACAGGTACATAGACGAGCACAAGACAAGCTGCCCCGCCTTCTACCCTGTGAAACATCTCCCTCTCTCTCTCTCTCTCTCTCTCTCTCTCTCTCTCTCTCTCACACACACACACACACACACACACACACACACACTCTCTCTCTCTCTCTCTCTCACACACACACTCTCTCTCTCTCTCTCTCTCTCTGTGCAATCGTCAGTATTATTGAAGTCATATCTCCCCCCCACCCTCCCAGGTACATCGACGAACACAATACAAGCGACCCCGCCTTCTGCCCTGTGGAACATGGTGCTCTGTGTGGGATGTCTACGGGCAGACACGGTATGTGTGTGTGTGTGTGTGTGTGTGTGTGTGTGTGTGTGTGTGTGTGTGTGTGTATGTATGTATGTATGTATGTATGTATGCATGTATGTATGTATGTATGTATGTATGTATGTATGTATGTATGTATGCATGTATGTATGCGTGCGTGTGTGTTTATGTTCATGCAGGTTTCTACGCATAACGAACCTCTCCATTTTTTTGACTGACAGCAGAGTATCTACATACTTAACATACACACCTACACGTCAGTCCAGCTTATAGTACACTGTCTTTTGTACACACATAGATGTCTATACACATGTACTATAATATAACTTGCAGCCAACTCACAGCTTCTAAGTTAAACATTAACCCATCTGTTTTTTAGGGTACTTCTCTGGTTTTCATCTTCCTCTTACATAAAAATAATACACTGGGTAATAATATTATAAATGTTTCTTTTGTCGTTTTCTGTGTCTGTGTCACTGAACCTCTAAGCACCGATTCTGTCGATGCGTGCGAATCTCTTTCTCTCCCTTTGTGTGTGTGTGTTTGTGTGTGTGTGTGTGTGAGAGAGAGAGAGGGAGAGAGAGAGAGAGAGAGAATGAGAGAGAGAGAGAGAAAGAGAGAAAGAGAGAGGGAGAAAGAGCGAGAGAGAGAGAGAGAAAAAGAGAGAGAGAGAGAGAGAGAAAGAGAGAGAGAGAGAGAGAGAAAGAGAGAGAGAGAGAAAGGGGGAGGGGGCAGTGGGTAGTCTAAACAGCCGTATGCACTTCTGACAGCCGACCGCTCCGTATCCCGGACTGTAGCGAGGAGATCATCAGGAGAGAATACGCCGCTGTTTCGGGCTCTTCCTCTCTACCAAAAACACCCCTTTTTTTATTTTTTATTATAGCTGATATTAAGTTCCGTTTTCCAGTCATTTAGTTATGTTATAGATCTAGATTTCTGAAAATTGAAACATTACTCGAATATTTCACTACCCACGCAAACACTAACACTAACAAAAAGTTATGTACACGTAGATCTAGGCCAACTAGCTTTGCTGTTCCTCAACTCAACTAAGACGATGTAGTTTGTTGGCCGCCTATCGTTGGTCAATTGGTTGTTTTTTAACACAAGGGGGCTATCTCGAAAATTGCTGTCTTTGGAAAATCGAAGGTAAAGTCCCCCCCCCCCCCCCCCCACTTGTTCAGTTTCTTTAGAAGACGAGAGATTTTTCTATAACCAAATATACACACCAAAGAAACCAAACTTCTCCAATAGGTAGGGCAATGCCCACTTTTGGCGTAGGTCAAGATATCTGGAAACCCCCGAAATCTGGGTTAGCCGGCTTGTCCTTAAACGCGACCAATTTGATTGTCTGGTTTGAAGTCTGTAATGTCTTTCTCACTTTCACCGACGTCTATGGTGTGTGGAGGTTGGGCCCCCCTCCTGTCACACGCAGAAGACCTGAGTTCGATTCCCGTATGGGCAAAATCTTTATCGAGTTTCTCGGCTTTTCTCCTGGGATGTTGCACATATCCCTCTCAACCCCGGTTGGCCCCGACAAGCAAGTTCATATCCCACCTTTAAAAAAATGATCGATCTAAGTTACGTTGATGAGGGTTTCAAAAGCACCATAGATGTTTAAATTATTCTTACCCATACCTCGTGTTTTAGTGGGGCCGCTACCAAACTGTTGAACACATCCTTCAGCACTGCAAGACACACAGGGCCCTGAGACAGGAAACGTGGCCAACCCCACTGACGCTGTAAGAGAAGCGATACGGGCCGACAGATGAACTGAACAGGACGGCCCAATTTATGACAGATACCAGACTTCAAGTGTGATGCGACCGAGAAGGAGAAAAGAAGAAGAGTGGGGCCGCTTAGCAAACCTATTGTGCATTTTGTGATACAAGCACCAAACTTGGCACAGATGTACATTCACATATTTCAATCATTTTCAGATATTGGGCCACTCGGATTTCCCTCTTTATGGCCGCCATATTGGATTTCAAAATGGCGGTCATTTGAAATCTACATCCATTATTTCTCGGTCATATGCTGCTATTGGCTTCATTTTGGTGCCTAAATGTATGTACGTCTTGATTTACTATCGTACCCATACGACGTGGGGAACTCTCTGTGCCACCACTTTCCAAAGGCGAAATTTACTCGCTTTGCATAGCGGTCGGTCAAAATGATTTTTTGAGAGAAACCGAAAGTTTCAAAGAGGTCTTCGTACTAAAAGTATTCTTAAATGTGAAGAATGCCACCCCGGGGGTACGAAAGGGTGAAACAAAACAAAAAACCCATAGAAAAAGTGCGTATTTTCCTATCGCTCCCCAGGACCTCCAGATCTGAGCTGCCACATGGCAGAAATATCTCTACACAAAGATCTCTCGGGTCACTACAGCATCGATGGGCGGAGGTGAAGAAAGAAGGAAAGAAAGAAAGAAAGAAAAAGGAAAGCGATGACCTGGCTATCGTGTTCGGGGTTGTTTTTTTTTGGGGGGGGGGGTGGTGCTTTTCTTTACTAACGCGCTCAAATAAACCGTGTAACATCATCACAACAGACAAATGAGTTTATTGTGAATTTTGACTCCTGACTGTACATTAGTAAAACACTTTACGACTTTACACCTCCATCAACACTATTTAAATCATTTAGGAAGCGGGCTGTCGACACTGCCAGTCAGGGAAAATCTGGGCTGAGTTGGATATTGCATCCCAGCAGAAAGATAGAGACAGTCGATTACATCCAGTCCAACACACTATAACAGTTATCTGACTAAGGCAATCATTCTGTACCAACGCCGAGCATGGATTAAGTACATCTCCCCAGAGTACCCATCAACTATTTATCCAGTTCTGGGTAGGCCTGTAGATAAAGTACAACTCACCACAGTATCCATCAACTATCTTCCTGGGACTGGGCAAAAGGATCAGTGAAATAATATGCACAGGAGACATATTATGTCCACATACGTAACAAGCTGAAGGCCAAATCTTCAAAAGCGCACCGACGGATATCCAGTCTACGGGATAGGTGAAGGTGAATAATGTAACAAAGAACTTTCTCATCTAATTACCAAACACATCATTGAACCATTCATTCTCATCCTCACAAACTCAAAGTCACAAGTTTCTGTACAGACAACAGAAAAACGTAACACCAGACCAGGTTCCATCACATTTGCTTATATTTGATTTTTTCATGTCAATACATGGCCATAAATCACACATTGCACGTCATTATGTACAACAAGAAGAGAAAGTCACAGTCACAGACAACAGTACACAATTCTGACCACAGTCTGAGCACACGGCGGGTTCCCTCATGATGACACTGAGAGGGCGTTGCCTTCTAGAACAGGCAGATGTATGGGAAAACATGAATAAACCTGAACACTTTACAGAACTTGGAAATGATGATAACACAACAAAAAACGTTGTTAATATGTTTCCATCCACACAAACATGCTGTGATAATTTAGGAAGCAGATTGCTCTTTCCCGTTAGTTTAGTAATGTAAGGGTACTCTATGTGTCACTTAGACCCCGCAGAATGACAAAAATACAGTGGGGAGTGAGGAGTCTGCTTCTTCAAGTCAACCAAAACGCTGTTAATCCAACAACAGCTGTAGACGGATAGAAAAAAACATACAATTTTTACTGTGTCATCCGAGCAATCTCTCTAACCAAAAACACAGCTGACCTGCCTAAAGAAAATTTATCGGACCCGCAGATTTCAGTTAAAGTGGACTCCACACAGTACTCTTTCAAATTCAGAACCCATTGAAAAGACAGACATACAGATCAGATATAATTCACACAGGAAAAACCAAGTAGTTTCATTCATACATACATAGCACTGAGAAATATTGCACTAGAGGTGGGGGGATGGGGTTGGGTACACAAACAAGGGAAGGAAGGAAAATAGGAAATGAGTACAACAGTGAATCTATCTACCAGCCATGTTCTTTGCTACGTCTGAGACAGACTTTCTTCTTCTGCAGCGCCGGGACTAGTCTGGCCTGCAAAGCCCATTCATAGGTTTCTTCATCTCACCTTTTTCCCCCCATGTTCCACAGGTAGGGTCTGGAACAATATACAGTGGAACTCGGATTCAACGAAGTCGTCCGGCCTGACCTTCAATTTCGCTGAAACTGGGTTCCACTGTAGTAATTCATAGACACTAACCCTGTGCCCACCCCCTCTTTATCAGACCCTTATCTACTCTATTTCTGACGATAGACCTGTCAGTGAATGGCGGGGAGGGGGGGGGGGGAGGGGGCTATTCATTCGCTTTATGGGAGGAAAAGCTAATTCTGGAAAAAGCAGAATTGGGAGGGGGGGGGGGCCGGGGTGAAGAGATAGGAAGGAAGAGAGAGAGAGAGAGAGAGAGAGAAAGAGAAAATCTGCTCACGACATAAGGTCCAAATTCCAGCACCTGCAAATGAAAACACTACCAACCACACATTCACTACATACACAATAATACTTAGCCTACTTCTTCCCAGAGATGAACCAACAAGACAAAAGAAACATCTCAAAACTCACCAAAAATACGCCACAGTCGTGAAACCGTAATGGACAGAAACAGAATTCAAACCAAAAAACATTTTCTCCATCCATTACACTTGAGAATTTCATCAACATGGAATGTTTGTGTCCAGTCTCACAGTCATGTGTATATATTTATATATTTGTGTTGTCACAAAACAAAATGTACATGCTCATGGGTGTCTGACAGTGAGAGTGTGAGTACGTGAGTACGTGTGTGTGTGTGCAAGACAGGGAAGGAGGAATGGAGGGAGGGGGGGAGGGAAGGGGGGGGAGGGAAGAGGGGGAGAGAGAGAGAGAGAGAGAGAGAGAAGGGAGGGGGAGGGAGGGGGAGAGAGAGAGAGAGAGAGAGAGAGAGAGAGAGTGAGAGGCAGACAGACAGACAGACAGACAGACAGACAGACAGTCAGACAGACAGACAGACAGACAGACAGACAGACAGACAGACAGACAGACAGACAGACAGACAGAGTATTCATTAAATTAAAGCTCATACAAATCTCAATAAATAGAACCAAGACGTACATATACACCGTACATCAAAAAGTTGACAAAACCAACAACATACAACTCGTATTACAAGAGACAACTTGTGAATATTTTCACAGCGCTGAAGTCAAGACAAAACACTACAACCAATGCTGCAAAAGTAAAACAGTCCGTTTGTGATTCGGTCTATGAGGCTTTTCAAATCGCAGGAAGAACAAAATAACAAGGAAAACAGTCCATTCACAGGAAGTTAAATTAACAACAGACGCCCTCAACATCATACATTAATAGCCTTGCCACACTGCAAACACCCCCCCCCCCCCATCTACACACCAGCATGGGAATCAGAAGAAAACCCTACAACTCAATACATTTAGCACACACAAACATTTTTTCAGAAAAAATCAGCACTTCTTGGCATATGAGATAATTAGAGAAGCGTTCTTTCGAGACAATTGTTGGGCGAGGGCTTCACCGTCAACTTGTGTCGTGTCATCTCGAGAGGAACCGAATTTAGACCAACAAAAAAACAGAGAACATCAACAGTGTAGACACTTCACCAAAAGTCACAGGTTATGCTTACAACAGCAAACATCAACACCAGACAAGCAGTCTGCTTCTTCTTCTTTTCTCCTCCTACCCCTGCCCGAGCTTGGGGAGTAACTAACTGCAACATGTCCCTCCTACAGGGCAGATGATTTTTCACATTTCAAAATTTACCCGTCGACAACGAGGCAAAAAACAAAAGTTTTTGTTGACATTCTCCCTCCGAGACTTAACACTGACAACACACTCTACGGAACATTACAGTAACTGCAGCAAACATGTACATATCCCTACATGGCATGCTGGATCAACAACAACAACAACACACATTCACAGAACATTCGCCGTATTCCCCACAAACGTCTGCACTGACGGACAAACAGACCTCCTGCACACATCACAGCATTCTCAAGGAATGAGCGTAGAGCGTACAGCTTTAACGCCCCTGTCAACACTATTATATTATATAAATGTTATTAAATGAGCGGGACCTCCTGGTTTAACGTCTGTCTCTGACAGGACCAACCCAAATGGGTGAAAAACCTTCAAAACTCCACAAAATGACCTGAATTTAAGAATGCCCAGTCTGGGATTCGAACCCTGGACCATCTGCTCGGAAGTTCAGCATGATATCAATTGAGCTAACGGAGCACCCCTGAAGGAATGAGATCTTCGGAGTAAATAAGGAAATGAAACAGTCCCCCCCCCCCCCCCCCCCCAAACAAATATATAAGTGCAACAAAGTGAAGTTCTGAATATACGCGTACAAGAACCCTCACACGTATATATATATATATGTCTAATGTTGGGCCATATCCATTAGCACATGCTCACACACACACCTCACACATATATATATATATATATGTCTAATGTTGGGCCATATCCATTAGCACATGCTCACACACACACCTCACACATATATATATATGTCTAATGTTGGGCCATATCCATTAGCACATGCTCACACACACACCTCACACATATATATATATATATATGTCTAATGTTGGGCCATATCCATTAGCACATGCTCACACACACACCTCACACATATATATATATATATATGTCTAATGTTGGGCCATATCCATTAGCACATGCTCACACACACACCTCACACACCACTGAGTGAACACTCTAGGAATAATATCATAACATATGTAAGCATCTTTATACTCTCCACTCTCACAGAATAGCATAATTAATGTTTTTAAAAAAAATAAAAAGGATTTCCAGCCAACACATTAGAAACAGTAAGATTCCAGCAAACACATTTGATTCAATGAGAGCAACTACAACATAAGACAAAGGAATAACACTTGAAGGTAACAGGCAGAGCCATAACACGACCTCTGTGCTTTCTTGTCCTATCTCCATTTTTTTAACATTGAAAATGTGACTTCTTCTTAAGCTCACTCTTTGTTATGAACTGTTTTCACTGTTATTAGAAATGGAGATAGGACAAGAAAGCACTGAGGTCGCGATAAGGTTTAACCAACTAACCGTAAATACAGGCAGATCAGCACACCACTTTAGGAAAGGGAAAGATGCCGCTATCAATCTGCTGCAAGTTGTGGCATTTGTGATCACGGCAAATTGCTGCAAGGATTTCCTTTCCTTCTTTTACCATGCTAGCAACTTCAGGTGATATGCACTAGATCAAATACCACACATGGAAGCTAAATCTGAACGAGAAGACATCCGTGTGAGATATTGCACGATAAGAGGGGTGGCACATCCTGCTAGATAAGCAAGAAAGAAAAATTTAGAGGAACATGATGTTTTTTAAGAGTTTTTGTAAGGTTTTACGGTGCTCACAACTGCTTAAGATCATATGAGCACCAAGGGGCGGATGTTAACAGAGAAGTCCAAATGTGGAATCAGACTTACTCTGCTCACCTCTCTAGCCTCACCAGCACAAAGTCTGCTTCGACTATCAAGGCACCCCGGAAATGAAGATACACATAATCCAAGTAACAAAACAAACTGAGGTTTCCACATGCAAGATGTTGCTAGAGGGACAGTAGAGAAAAGCTTTGGTGTTATTGTCCATGTAAGTAGAACAAAACAATGCAACAATTTCATATTTTTCAACAATGTGGGTCTGTTTTAAAAAAATTTTTACACTCCCATCCAGACAATTTAGATCATTTAAGAGGAAGATTTCAACCCTGCCTTTCAGGGCCAACCCGGCTGAGAAGGATACATCATCCGATCATCACAGCAGAAAGACCCCAACACATGTTGGCCTACTAGATATAAACTCTCCCCACCCAGGAATTGAACTCAGGTCGCCTGCATGTGACAGCGAAGTGCCAAACCGCTACATCAAAGACACCGGAGCAATGTACCGAAACCAGACATTCTCCACTTACACGTTGCCCACATTCACATTCTCTACATACACACATACACATTCTCCACACACTCAAGAACAAACGATTCGATATGGCAGATGGCTGATATTGATATCTATTGGCCTTTGTCTTGCAAGTCAAGTTAAGGAGGTCATGTGCATAAGATTGAGAGTAAGTGTCAGTTCTGAATGTGTAGAGATCACCTGCAAAATGGAGATGTCTTGGTAAAGTTCTGTAGAACCTGCTGTAATGACCACCTGTCCAAGACAATCACCTGTCCAAGACAATCACCTGTCCAAACAACCACTTCTCTCTTCCCCTCTTGGGTTTTTACTATATGTGAGACATCGTGGTGACATCAGGCGCTCGTCAAAACAAGGAAAGAAAAGAAACTGACGTTTTTCTGCAGGTTTGGGAATTTTTATGGAATTTTGGTATTTTGGCTTTACACCTTTCATGCCCATGAAAAAACAGCAGCTTATAGGTCAAGATCTGGAACTACTAGGACCCAAGATACAACTAGATCTAGATCTAGATCATCATCTCGATGCAGCAGTCCAGGCTGTTTATCTCAGAACATCTAGACTGAGAATGACAAAATATTGAGGATCAATCAGCATAATCTCATCATATGTTTTCTTTCAATAATTCATTGTCAGCGTTGACAGTTTTATTTGTTTACATAGGGACTTGTTCTTGTTGTCCTTGTTTTTTCTTTAGTGTCTAGTTGATTGTTGTGAAAGCCACGGTGCTTGTATCGGTGCTTGTTTTACTGACAAGGTGTACGATCCAACATTTTGTTTTTGGCTAACATTTTGGTCAGTAAAAACTATGTTTGAGCACCTGGCAAACGGAAAAAGGTCTTCGCGCATGAGTAACTAGCACGGGCGCCAGTCTTGAGTGAGATAACCTAGTGAAAGGACGGGAGTGAAGTGGTCTCGACGTGGACGACAGGATTGGGGGGCCCCTTTCATCGACAGACGACATCGACAAGGCAAGAAAGACTTTCAAGTAAATCTTACAGGGGCATGTCTGCATTGTGTATGACACTATGGATGGACTACTGGGATTGCTTTTTTTTTTTTCAGCAGCAGCGTTTGGACTTTATTTATATTACCAAAAGTACTCGACTTTCTTCATAATTTCCGAGTGAGTGCCTGACAGTGACGTGCTGTCTACTAGCACAGGCAGACGAGAGGGAGAGGAAGAGGGAGGGGGAGAGGAAGAGGGTGTGGCAGAGGAAGAGTTAGTTTTAGCTTTAGTAAAGGTTTTGAGGTGCTCGCATCTGCATAAGGTCATATGAGCACCAGAAGATTAGAGGTGTTACAAGAGAGCAACAAACAAAAACGAAGAAAGAAAGAAAAGAACGATAGATGTTTCATAGGAAAGAAGAAGCAGACCACACCAGAGCACCCGCCAACCACCCATGGAGAGGAAGAGGGAGGGGGAGAAGTCAAAGAGTGTGGCAAAGGAATGTTACTTTTCATCCGGACATTCCCGGAGTTTGACGACAACACTGAAGTGAAGACAGATGTCACAGGATTCAAACCTGTGAAGTTTTCTCGTTATTCCTTAGAACTGAAGTCTTGCTCAACATATTTGTAACTCAGACAAACAAGTACGCTCAGGAGTTCATATCATCGTCGACCTTGAAGCCAGCGTCCTGTTTCCGGCAGTGGACAGAGACGAACATTCATGAGATGAGGACATTCCTTGTTCTCCTTCTGCTGATGGGGATTGTAAAGACGCCTGACCTCAACTCACACTGGAGTACAGACTGTAACAGACCCTCTAGTCGGAACCTCGGTCTTCCCTGCTGTCATGTCACGGGACAGCTTTCTTCTCCTTCTAAAGTTCTGGCGTATGAACGACAATGACAACATGCCACCAGCCAGCCAGAGACCGGCTTTTCAAGATACGCTCGGTGCTTGATCATCTGTTCTTGATGTTTTAAGAAGTGTTCCAGCCAGGGGAGAATATCGCAATCGACGAATCCCTGTTGCTGCGGAAAGGCCGCCTCGTCTTCAAGCAGTACATCCCCTTGAAGAGAGCAACGTTTGGAATCAAATCCATTTTACTCTTTAACAACAGTGGCTACACATCTCGTTTCCGAGTGTACACAGGTAAGGATGAATACACGACCGACATTGACGACCCTCCGCCCCCCGACACTCAACATTTGGGACGCTCAGGACAGGAAGTGTTTTACCTGATGTTACCATTGCTCAACAAAGGTTGTGGACAACTGGTATACCTCTGTTGATCTTTTTGAGCTACTGCACAGCCATGACACTTCTTGCTGTGGAACTCTGCGATCTAACAGAACCCCGCCGTGTTTGTATCAGCTACAGGTCGCTGGGGGGGAGACAGAGGGCTGCATCGGCGGGAAACTGCTGGCACAAAAGTTCGTCGACAAGCGTGATGTGTACATGCTGTCGACATGTCATGAACCTTTTCAAGATCCGCCACGTGCTTGATCATCTATTCTTGAAGTTCCAAGAAGTGTTCCAGCCAGGGGAGAATATCGCAATCGACGAATCCCTGTTGCTGCGGAAAGGCCGCCTCATCTTCAAGCAGTACATCCCCTTGAAGAGAGCAACGTTTGGAATCAAATCCTTTTTACTCAGCGACAACAGTGGTTACACATTTCATTTCCAAGTGTACACAGGTAAGGATGAATACACGACCGACATTGATGACCTGCCCCTTAACACTCAACTTTCGGGACGCTCAGGACAGGAAGTGTTTTACCAGATGTTACCATTGCTCAACAAAGGTCACCGTCGGTTTGTGGATTACTGGTATACGTCGGTTGATCTTTTTGAGCTGCTGCACAGCCATGGCATTTCTTGCTGTGGAACTCTGCGATCCAACAGAACCCCGCCGCGTTTTAGTTTGTTTTAGTAGAGGTTTTACGGCGCTCGCAACTTCATAAGGTCATATGAGCACCAGAAGATTAGAGGTGTTATAAGAGAGTTAAAACATAAAAAAGAAGGAGGGGAGATAAAAATAGATTTTTGATAGGAAAGAAAAAGCAAACCACACCAGAGCACCCGCCAACCCGCCGTTTTTGCGCCAGCTACAGGTTGCAAAGGAGGAGACGGAGGGCTGCGTTAGTGGGAAACTACTGACACAAAAGTTCGCCGACAAGCGCCATGTGTACATGCTGTCGACATGTCATGAACAAGGGTCCAGCGGCAATGACAGGAAACCACCAGCGATTCTTGATTACAACAGCCACAGGGGAGCAGTTGATCGCCATGATCAAATGCTCCAACCGTATGACGCAACCCGTGAATCAATCAAGTGGTACAAGAAGTTGAGCGTGCGTTTTCTGCAAATTGCCCCCCCTCAATGTCCACATAGTCTAAAAAAAAAATCTGGGCAGAGCTCAACCTTTCTCGAATTCCAGAAGGACGTCATCTCAGCCATGTTGTTTGAGGGAAACAATGCACCTGAAGTCACAGATGACCACAGTGTTCGGCTTACAGGACGCCACTGAGGACCACAGTGTTGGGCTTACGGGACGCTAGAGACGACCAAAGTGTTTGGCTTATGGGACGCTACAGACGACCACAGTGTTCGGCTTACGGGACGTCACTTCATGGATGTCGTACCAGCAGAGAACTCTCTAAAGAAAAGGCCCCAGAAGAGGTGCTGTGTGTGCTGAGAGGAGGGGGTGAGGAAGGACAGCTGCTACTACTGCCCTGATTGTCCGAGTTAGCCAGACCTGTGTTACAGACAGTACCACACAGAACCCTTTCACTGGCGCAACTGATTCTGAAGGGCTTTATTTTCCATCTTTTTTTTTTTCTAGTAACTCTTTAGTTTTAGTAGAGGTTTTACGGCGCTCGCAACGGCAAAAGGTCATATGTGCGCCAGAAGATTAGAGGTGTTTCAAGAGAGTAACAAAAGAAGGAGGAGAGATAAGGACCGTATAGTAACCCTGTCGTGACAGTGTTGTGTTTTAATTCATCTTCATTATTATATTATGTGTTGTCTATACATGGGATTTTCAAGTTGGATTGTGCCTTTTTCTTAGATTACTACAAGTATTCATTGTTGGAGGTAGCTGCAGTGACATCATCAAGAATAAGGTAATCTTCCCCTTCAGTTTTCAAAGCCAGTAGTTTACACATGAATCAATTAATATCACTTCCAAGGGAAGGGCTGAAAACTGCTTTCATTTTTCTTTCATTTGATGTTTACTTTTATAGGTGTATCTTGTCAATTATATAGGAGTCACAGCCTCATAACCTGTCCCCGTGGTTTTATGCACCCTGCATAATTTAGCAAAATTTGATCTCATTTTTTTGCATAATTTCTGATAATTTTCCTTTATCATACTTGGTTAAAATTAACAGAATCGCATAATTTCACATTCTTGGGCTCAGTTTGCATAATTTCAGAACTTTTCTGGCATAAAACGATGGGAACAGCATAACACAGGTGACCTGTCAGAGAGTGGGTGGGCGGACATTTTTCCGGCACAGGGCAGGGGAAGACTGGGAGCAGTGAAGGGGTTAAACGGAAAACGAGAATACTTATCGTTGTTCTTTTGAAAATAACGGAAATAAAGGAGAAATAGAATCCCTGAGATATGCTAAGACTTGTCTACAAGTGACATCTCGACACTTAATTCCTTTTATGCACATGACCTTCACCTTCCCTCTCAATGCTCCTTCTGGCAGTGTTTTTGCTGTGGTTGTGGTCTGTGGGATTTGAACATTATCAGCGTCACACTCTCTGGTCCAAGCACAGATGTCAAACACACTTATGTACATACTAACACAGTCACCTGTACACACTGACACACATTCATCTATACACACTGAGACACAGTCAACTGTACACACTGACACACATTCACCTATACACACTGAGACACATTCACCTGTACACACTGATATACATTCCCCTACATAATCTCGACCAGCAGTTCAAATGTACTACGCCCAGATTTTGAACTTTTTTTCCCCCACTAGCACTTTCTTACTCTGTGGTATCTGCTACATGTGCCTAACAAATGTTTTGTCAAAATACAAATTCAAATTACTTGAAAAATCAAAACAAACATGACGCATACAGTAGGTACAATTTTTTCTCTCTGAAACATGAGTTTTTCATTCTCTCTTCTGAAAAAGTCGGCATTTATATAACCTATTTGTGTTGCAAGAGCCATAAAATTTTGATTGAACCAATAACTCTCCTGAAAAATGTAGCTCTCTGGGATGAGAACAAATGAACAGCTTGCCGACGATATCATATCTCTTCTCTTGTCTCTCTTATCTTATATAACCCTCCACCTAACCCCTGAGCTGACACACACCCAGCCGTGCTGCGACACGCCCAAAATACTTGTTACAGGAAGTGTGTAGCGCAGATGTGGGCCACCCACAAGGCTAAGAGCGTACAGATGTGTGACGGACAAACTTGCTGCGAGTTCTGCGTTGTGCTGGATCCCAACCAGACGTCATGAGCGCACCATGAAGTAGATGGCAAGGATGATGGCAATTAACACGATAAGACCGACGCCGAGGAGCATCACTCTGTTCTGTATAATTCTGCCGACAAATTAGGACAAAAAAATAAATTAGGCTATTTCATCGAGAAAAAGTCTAGAAATGGTAACAAAGTCTATGATTTTGCACAAAGATTTTTTTTTTCAAATGAACTTCAAGCAAAACCAAACTTTTTATAATTCAAAACTAATGATAAACAAAATATCAAGCCACCCAAAGCTTGAGTTTGGTTCAGAAAAGCAACTAATAATTCTGCATGAGGCAAGAATAATTACCGCAAACTTGAAGCAAGACAAAACAGTTTTTCAATACTATCTGAGTACAGTACCTATAAAGTAAAAACGAGAGCCAGGGCTGCAAATTTTCTTACCATTCGTACAAAATTGAAACAACGTATTTCATTTTGTACATAAAACATGATGTAATAACTCTATACGACTACGTCACCTTCATTGCACTGACACAACACCCCCTCCCCTTTCTAAAAAAAAAGAAGTACAACACCAAGAAGTGGAAGGAACACAAATGAAACAGAAACCTTCAATAACTTTGCAAAAAGAACAAAAACAATAAATGAAACAACGAAAAATAATACCAAATGTGTTCAATTTGCCAAAATAAAATTTATAAAGAGCACAAACTAACAAAAGAAATGAAACAACGAAAAATAATACCAAATATGTTCAATTTACCCAAATAAAATTTCTAAAAAGCACAAACTAAACCAAAATGTGTTTGATTTAACAAAATAAAGTTTCTAAAAAGCACAAACTCAACACAGCAGAAACATTGTTGCTGAAGCGCTCACCTCTGCATCATGCCAGACAAGACACGGGAACTTTTGCCCAGAGCTGAATCCATTTCTTGAAGCTGCAACAGACAAAATCAGGAAATTTATAAAAACTAGAGTCATTGAAATACAGCCAATCATGGTCATCAGTTTGGGATAAACCAGCATGAATAACTGTAGGCTCGCAGTTTCAATTTTGGATTGGTGATGCTGCACAGACATTTTAATTTTAAGTAATTGATAATAAGACTTTCAATCCTTGAGTCTATTTTTTTTTTTAATCTCTTTTTCTTTGTTTTTGTAAGGATTTACGGGGATCTCTATTTTCACTTTTTCATACAGACAGCAAATCAAAACGAGAAACAAGAGCCTATTCTGCAACTAAACAGTTGTATACAACAAATCCTAGTCGAAAAGAAATCCCTTTTCACTTACCCGTCCCCGGGAGCGATTGATGGCCTGTCTTTGGGAATGTAAATCTTCCATCACTTGGGCACCAAGCTGCTCTGTTGACCAGAAAAATAACAATCGGCAAAAAATTAGTGAACTAGTCATCATTAAGTTTGAGTAAAGAGAAGCACATCGACACAATAACGGTCATATAGTGCGGGGAAGAAGCAAGAAAGATAGACAGAAACAACAGAAGGAAAGAAAAGCAGCAGGAAGTACTAGTGGTACCTTCTAAAAACTTGTGTTCTTTGATAGGAAAATTTGGCTCTTTGGCTTGGGTTAAGGCGTTTGTCTCGAAGGCTAAAGTGCTCCATTCAATATCTGATAGACGGCATAGGCATGTCTGGCTTCAAACCCCTGATCACAGCACAGGGCAGATCCTTGAGGGGAAGGCACACAACATGGCAAGTTCCCTGCCCATGGGTTCATTACTTTACAGGCATCAAAGATTTTGAAAGTGGTAGAAAAGCAAGCCTACCCAGAGGGCAGTACAAGCAAAATTCTAAACTGTCCTCATTCTCAAAATCTTCCGTTTTTTCAGGCCTTCCTCTTTTTCTCTTTCTTTGAGTATTTCATCTATTAGCTTGGTGGGTAATATTCGTTTTTGATTTTCTCAAAGAGTGTTCAATCCATTTCCATTTTCCCTTTCTGATATCCATATCTCGGAGGAATGCAGACATCTGTCTATCCCTATGATCAAGTGGAAAAATACAGAAGAAAAAAAGGAATTGACCGTACCTGTTTCCACAGTGATTCGATAGCCATGGTCGAGTCGTCGAGATGTTCGCTCCAGGGTCTCTGTGTTGTCCAGCAACCGGGCTCTCTACAAAATACAAAGATCAACAAAAGTGTGAAATATATCAGTGAAACGTTTCTGGGTACATCAAGGGCAAGACAATATGATCACGGCCATAAGGATTTGATGATGACAGTTATTATACTGAAAAGAATTATACGAAAGAACAGACCAACCCAGAGTGCAGACTCCAATGTGACCAGCCCAACAGTTAGCAAACCCACAAACACACACATGCAGTCCACACACACATAAGTCACACATACCAACAAACACTTATACTACACAACACTATATCAACGTATCACAACCCCCACACACATACCACACAGCACTATGACAATGTGAAAAAACCCACATATCCACAAACACACATGACACAGCACTATGACAACATAGCACTGTCCACACACACACTCACACGACACAGCACTATGACAACATAGCACTGTCCACACACACACCCACACAACACAGCACTATGACAACATAGCACAGTCCACACACACACCCACACAACACAGCACTATGACAACATAGCACAGTCCACACACACACCCAAACAACACTATGACAACATAGCACAGTCCACCCACACACCCACACAACACAGCACTATGACAACATAGCACAGTCCACACACACACCCACACGGCACAGCATTATGACAATGTGAACCCCCCCCCCCCCACACACACACACACACACACACACACACACACACACAAATACACACACACACACACCCCCACACACACACACACCACACAGCACTATGACAATGTGAAACACCAAACACACACACACACCCACACGACACAGCACTATGACAACATAGCACAGTTCACAACCTGTTCCCACAAACACATCCACCAGACACACACACAGGCCGCCCACAACTCACCTGGTCCTCCGAGTCGTGAGTGTCGTCACCAAGAAGCTCATCTCTGTTGGCATCAATGCCCAGCTTGGCTCGTTTCTGAAAGAAAGAAAGAGAAAAAAAATTAGAACAAGACAGCAATCCACTTACCAGAACACAGAAAGAGATCAATTTTTCAAGTCCAGTCTGGACATAACAAGACCAGTGTTTTTACAATCTTACGTCAGAATTTAAATTTTGCTTCGATTGGAAGTTAAAGCCACTAGAAAAACATTGATTCAAAGCATTACAGCAGAGTATAGAGAGCTAAAATTGTTTGTCCTTATAAAGCCCAAATATAAGAAATAACATTTGCCAGTTTATATTATCTACGTGCAAAGCCAGAAATTAGGAAAACACTTTTGGACAAGAGCAATAAAAACACATATCCTGTAGCACTAAAACATTCTGCCCTTGAAACAATTGATTCCTATCCACCAACATGGATCCACTCATACACTGATGGATCTGCCTTTAAGGCAACAATCAACGCTGGATATGGGTCAGTGATCAACTTGCCCAGTGGGGAAAAAAAAGAAGTCTTCAACTCCAGCGGGTCTTTCTGCTCCAATTTCATTGCCGAACAACAGGCTATCACCAACACAGCAAACTACATCAAGTACTTGTTTGACACTAACCCACTTGCTACCACAGACATCATTATATTTACAGACAGCCTTTCAACACTAGAGACACTTGAGAGTGGGACTGATGTGAACAAAGATATATTGCATTTGATTTGGAGTCTACATAACTTGATAAGTAGGCACCACGTCAGAGTAGTCCTACAATGGATTCCTGCCCACACTGGGATACCGGGAAATGAAAGAGCTGATGCTCTGGCAAAGAAAGGAGCTAGTCTCCCTCAGCCTGAAATTCCTACGAATTACACCACCTGCTGCCAAATGATCAAGTCAAACCTCAAGGAAGAGTGGATGAATGATTGGGCCACAGGTACGACAGGAAGAAGGATGTATGGCCACATGAATAAACCACTGATCCAATCAATGAGTTGAGGAGGGGAGATCAATCCATAATCTTCCAACTTAGAACACAACATGTACCCCTCAACCAACATCTCAACCGAATTGGAGTAAAGCAGTCTGCTGCCTGCTCACTATGTGACTACCCCTCAGAGACAGTGGAACATCATCTGTTTTCCTGTAGAAAACTAACTGATTTAAGGGGATGTTTTCTTCCCAAGCTACCCCACACATCTAATTGCCTCTACTCCTCAAGACAACAATTAGAACAAACATGCAGCTATTACCGAATGGCATCATGCAGAAGAGTTAACGCTCAGATGCTACTGGATCGCTAACAACAACAACAACATATTATCTACGTACAACTGCCATCATGTCATTGTAAAACATGTTCATCTTAGGATACTACCAAAAAGTCATGTCTTTCTTTTTCGATTACCCCTTCGAACTAGAGTGTGTGAGTGTGTCTGTGTGTGTGTGTGTGCGTATGAATAAACGTATGTGGGTGTAATTACTTCAGTGTTTGATGAGCATAGATTAATTCTTCAAAGCATTTACAGTATTATTCATATTTAAAAATTTATACTAGCATTTACGATATGAAATGCACTTGAAGCTGTGTTTAAGTTAGAGTATACATCATAAAAATGATGACATGATCATTCTACCCACCAGGTCAGCCTGCAGTTTGGTGAGTTCAATCTTGAAGCTTTTGACCCGCGTGTGGTACTTCTGCCTCTCCTTGGGCTCCTGCTCCTTCACCTCCAACTCCATCTGCTCCAACTGAGGACAACACGTGCATAAACGCTTTCATTTTTAGTTTTAGTAAGTGTTTGTAAACAAATAAGTTCATGATATAAGTGCCGAAGATTAGAGGTGTTACAAGAGAGTAGCAAACACAAAAAAGAAGGAGGGGAGATAAGGACGATAGATGTTTGATAGGAAAGAAGAAGCAAACCACACCAGAGCACCCGCCAACCACCCACAGCCTTTCATTTGAATGCTAACAGAAATGCAACACGCTGCAATGACCCCCGACTCATCAGTGCAATGACCCCCGACTCATCATTGCAATGACCCCCGACTCATCATTGCAATGACCCCCGACTCATCATGCAACTGTCTCAAAGAACCTGTGACAACATTATATCGTAACATATTAACTATTCAACTAAGACTCAATAGAACAGTATAAGTATCACACAAAATAAATATACCCAAAAAGATACATTCTGTAGTTTGTAGCGTTGACATGGTAACCTTTTATACTATTTTACAAAAAGAACAAAACAATACAATCGAATATTGACTAAAACAAAAATTATACAACTCAATGCATGTTACTATACAGGATGATACTGAGTATATTTCCTCTAAAGCCATTAGGGCAGTCAGTTCCCGTCAAAACATTGAATTTAATCTGACTACAGAAATTTCAAAATGGAGAAAATAATGCTCTCATATACATAATGGATTTCTTTGCTCTTTACACAGCCCAAATCATTACCGAAGCATACTACTCACCAACTCATGAGCTTCATCGAACAGCTTTTCCGCCTGTTTGACATAGTTCTGCTTTTCGCCTGAAATACAAAGAAAACCCCGTATATTTTTAACTTTAACCTTTTGAATTAGTTGTTTTTATTTAAATTTTAAACAAGAGAAAAGAAAAAAAATGCTCTCAACTTTTCAAAAATCCTTTGTTTTATAACATGGAAGAGCCAAACAAGGGCATTCTTCGGGAGAAGTGGTCCCGGCCTAACTCCATAGAAATCTATACACAAAATTGGAAACAAAAATGAAAGTTGGGTAAAAAAGCTTACCAAGTTGTTAGGGTGAAAAAGCCACGGGTAAATTTATAGAAAGGGTACACAAATCTATTTTCGACTATTTCCCCCCACTATTTTAACGTTTTTTAGTGTGCTGAGAACAATTTTGGCACCATAAACGGTCACAAACCATTTTTTGGGTTAATACTAAACCACTTTCGTGTTTTGTTTCCCATTGTGTGCATATTGTATAAATTTCTATGGAGTTAGGCCGGGACCACTTCTCCTGAAGAGAGCCCAAACATGCTCTAATAGCCATCTGTCAATAACAATTATAATAGACCTCTGTGTAAATGACTACTTTCCATGTTCCCCCTTGTCTTAAAAAAATTATACCATTGTCCATGACTTTCACCTGTCTAAGTCTAAGACAACCACTTTTTCCTTTACAACGGACTGTTTCTTGGACAATTCAACAGTTGAAATTGTCCAAGATACGATGGCTATTAGAGCATATTTGACTTCTTTGTTGCTGAGTTCAGCACATTTCCACAGGGAATACAGTAAGGGTTGACTATGGCAATCAAAGTAGAAATTGGAGGGGAAAACTTCATACACCGCAGTGCAGTCTTCAGCAAGTAGCAGCCTAAATGACTACATGTGAGAAGAAAATATAGACAAAATTTTAAGACCTAACGAGTCTAAGACAAAAATGTAAGTTAGATCTATTAGGCGGTATGGAAGGACTTCCGTAATGAGCGACCACCCCAACAAACACACAACAAAGAAGACAACTTGCCCTAACCCGTAACCTAACCCTAACCCACATTCAAACCCAAATCATAATCATCTATCCAGGCATATTTATAGTGGTCGCTCGTTGCGGAATTCCTCCTGACGTTACACTGTCTACACTATTAGCTCTACAGACTGTAGTAACTGTAACTGTAAGGTTACTAGATCTAGTATGGGGAGGACTTCCGTAACGAGGGACCACTATGGGACAGTAGAGCAGAGGGGGGAGGACTTCCGTAACGAGCGACCACGATGAGACAGCAGAACTGAGGGCTAGGGGTAGGAGTAGATCTAGGGGGAGGGGTAGGGGTAGGGGTAGGGGTAGGGTTAGCCCTCTTCTTTATTTATTGTGTTTGATGGGGCGGTCGCTCGTTACGGAAGTCCTTCCGCAGACGGGTAGGGGGTAGGGGGCAGGGGTAGGGGTAAGACAGAGGGGGAGGACTTCCGTAACGAGCGACCACTATGAGACAGAGCAGAATTGAGGGCTAGGGGTAGGGGTAGGGTTAGGGGTAGGGGTAGGGTTAGGGTTAGGCCTCTTCTTTATTGTGTTTGATGCGGTGGTCGCTCATTACGGAAGTCCTTCCGACAGAGGTTTAGGTTTGGGGTAGGGTTAGGGTTTGGGGAATGTTAGGGTTAGGGTTCGGTCTCTTTATTATGGCTCCGCTTTATTATTGTGTTTGTTGGGGTGGTCACTCGTTACGGAAGTGTCGGAAGTCCTTCCCTGGTTTAATTTAAATTTAAAATGAGAACAGTGTTGGTAGTTAGGTGATCTTATACTTTAGCACGTTTAATTCCCAAAAGTCTACCTAATCCCCGACTCAGACCTTCAAAACTTAGAACTGGGCCTAAAAATGTGCAAACTACCGTAATTTTGTCATGGACAGATCGTATAACAGTGGTTTTCAGTCTTCCATCATTATTTTGGAAGCCATTGAGTATAATCTTGATGACATAGAATTTTGATCCAGATCTGATAGTGGTCGCTCGTTTCGGAAGTCCTCAATTGAAGAATTTAACGTGCTTAAAGTATAAGATCACCGGTAGTTACTTTACTTGGTAGTGTACAGTTGTCAGTTTTTAAACCATGTCTATACTGATTAGTGATACAGCCACAATGTACTATAAATTGTACAGGACAGGGTAACGATAGCAGTCGCCTGAACCTGGACTGTTTGGTCGTGGTAAAAATTAACAGTGCAAAGTTAAAAAGTAAATAAACGACAAAAAGACTTGTTTACCTCCAAATGACGTGGCAACCTTTCCGATGTTGTGAGTGATGTCAGATGTCACAGACGAATACTGTTGTTCATAGCTTTGAATGAGACTCATTGTGTCCTTGTTGTCTTCGTCTGTGACGACACTGACAAAAGAGGTAAAGGAAAAGGATCGATGTTGATATTGAGAGTTGAGTTGATGTATGACAACCGGAAGTGCCTTACACACTTGCCACTTGCCAGAGAATAGAGAAGCGCACAGGATTAGGCTTAAAAAAACAACCAAAGGCTTTTTTAATCGCACTTGATTGCAACATGTTTTGTTTTCTCTTTTTAAAGAAAAAACAACATATATTCCAGTGAGTGGGCTTTTTAAATAACAGTGCTGTTTTATTTGTTGTGTGCCTTCTATCTATGTGGTGCAGACAAATCAAGAAAAGTACACAAATTTTCCCAACACTCAAATTAATTTCACATTTTAGAAGCAAAATCACGCTCGGCACAACTTTAAAATGTATTCATTATGATAATGAAAACAAAATGTAATGAATGTTTGGTCCGTATGGCGAAATACAATTAGAAAGAGGTCTGTATGCCAAACTATGTTCCAATTCAACAAGCATAGGACAAGATGGCATATGAATAGATTAATGCGAAAGGAAAGGATAACGGTTGATTGCTTTTCATCAAGATTTCGTAGAATAATAATACCGGTAGGCCCAACATGATATTAATAAATTAATTTTAATGTATGATAACACGATAACACTTCACCATGGGCCGTCCCCAAAAAACCACCAAATTAATAATAATAAAAGTAAAAATGATAATGAAGTCCAAGTAGTTCAAAGATACAATGTTCTCAGCCAGATAAAAGCTGAGTACACGAAGAATATAGAAAACATTAGGACGTACATATAGGCATAGCACAAATCATTAATTGGAATTCAAAGATCATCTAACAGAAGACTAAAATTATTTTTTTGGAATAATTACATAGCAATGTTTTGACGGAATTGAGGTATGATACCGAGAGACGGAAGACAAACAAAACAATTCCACGAAAATTAAAAAGGCGTCCAAACAAAATGTTTACAAATAATTTTATAAATTAACTGGAATGTATTAATTACAAATAATGGCGTACACGTATTGGAAAGCGTTGGAACTGAAGATATCAACAAGGTCATAAAAATTAGAAGAAGGGGACATTTAGGAAATGTTTTAAGAATGCCAGAGAGAAAATTGCCCGACAGACAAAGGGGCTCTCTTGGTCTAGAGGTACAGTGTTCGCCTCTCATTCAATAGATCCCGAACTTGACAGCGACGGAAAATTTTCTTCTCACAAATGTTCTTTCTCCTGATCCTTTCCTGCTCTCAAATCACGTTCTGTCATCTGCCTTCTTTCTCCTAACTATGTGTTATCAGATACATTTGCTCAAGAAATATTTTGTCGAAATTCAACTCCTTAAATTTGTGCTGATGACCTTATGCAGTTGCGAGAGCCGTAAAACACTTACCCCCCCCCCCCCCCCCCCAAAAAAAAAAGTAGTGGCAAAGGGTCAGAAGACGGTGTCAGGGGTCATGCAGGTCACACAAACTGAACATTACAATGACTCAGAACTCAGCAACGACCAGTGTGAAGCTTTGGGTGAGTATGTATGATAGATTCAGAAGAGGAGACCGGAATGTTCTTTGACTCCATCCTAAGGTCTTGCTCCATCCACGAGTGCTCCCACATGTGTGCTGTGGGTATAGACAGACAGCGTAGCCTACCGTCGGTAAGCTCGCGCGGCGCTAAGCCAGGACGGACAATAACCACAGTCCACCGTCAGGACAGGGTGACTTACGAGATTCCCTTCTCTACCTTTCCTTTACTTGAGGATCTCAACATTCCTCATACATCGAGAGTTTTTTAAAAATATTCTTCTTCACATGGGCCCTTTCGTCAAAGGATGTTACCAGTTATATCTTCCTCAACGTTATTATTGTTTTCGAGAAAGACCTTGTCTGGCAAAAAGGCCCAAGTGGGTTGGAGTTAGTCGCTCCTTTTGTGTCTTATAACAAAGAACGAGTGTGATAGGGTTAATGCAGTCTCGTGTTCAGCTGTCTAGAGTTACAGTCTAGATGTGAAAGAGTTAATGAAGGCCACATCTCGTGTTCATCAGACTTACTAATACACTAGATGTGTGAGAGGTGAGAGGGTTAATGTATGGCTCGGGTCCGTCAGGCTGACAGACACACAGATGCATGAGGTGCCAGAGTGGCGGGGACATGGTTCTGGCATTCTGTGAAGACCAAGAGAGTGGTTTTTCTGCGTCTTGCTGCTATGCACTCATGCACGTGAATGTTAGGACATGGGCTGACGTGAGGAAATACTCAGCAGAGTTGTGAGTAATAGCTGAGGGTCGTCTGTGTGTGTGTGTGTGTGTGTGTGTGTGTGTGTGTGTGTGTGTGTGTGTGTGTGTGTGTGTGTGTGTGTGTGTGTGTGGTGGCACGCAAAGAGGTTTTGAGGACCTCGGGTGGCACGCCAAACACTTCGTCCGCCACACAAATGTCCAGCAGTTGCAGGTTATACACAACTAGCCTATAGGCTATAGTTGTAGTTATTTTATGATGCGTGCCAGCTCGCACCCCTCATATCTCACCCAAACATCTCCATGGACACACAGAGACAGCTTATCACCTCAATATTCATACCAACAATATGTTATCAGTGCCAGACTTGGACCTTAAGCAAAACCCATGAAAGCTAAATCACCGCATGCGAAATGGAATGTCTCCACAAAACCCTTAACATCACAAGACGAGACAGGCAGAGAAATGAAGAAGTAAGAGCAGCTATCGGCACTGAGTCCTGCCTGCGTTACATAGAAAGACCCATAGAAAGACAGAGGATAAAATGTTTTGGCCACCTGTTACGCATGTCACCTGACCAGCCAGCCTCGAGAGCCTACAACACCAAGCACTCAGGCTATAAAGGAAGAGGAAGGCCACACAAAAGGTGGATCGAGGGTGTCAAGGAAACCCTAAGAACACATAATATCACAACTGAAAGAGCTGCGGAGCTGGCCTACCATAGAAAACTGAATCTCCCCTCGACGCTTAACGACAACAGAGGAGGAAAAAGTAAAAGTAAGTAAGAAGTCCCTGCATAGATTTGTATCATAATGTCCAAAACTGTGCACTCTGACGTAATTCTGACTTGGCAAGCTATTCGGACCCAAGTTTGCTATACCGTAACGGCCTTTTTTCATTTGTCGCTCGTTTTCGAGCTTGACTACCGTAAACCTTCTTCGTACTGGATGGTGTGCCCCTTGAAATTGCTGATTTTTAGGCCAAATGATGAAATTTGAGTTGTTTACTTCTGATTTACTGTATACAAAAAAAGTTGCACACAGAAGGAATTCTGTTTTTAGAATCTCAAAGCAATTTGACACCAGATTATGTCAAAGTAACTCAAATTAAGTTAATTTTTGCATAATTACCATGTCAGTGAAATTCCAAAAACAGTTTTTCTCGAAACATGTCAGAATCGTACTGTGCGGAAGTTTGTGATAAGGCCAGGCGGTACACTCTCGTCAAGTTTGGAGAAATTTGGTCAAGAATTTTTCGACGCCTCAGGAGTAATATAATATTTCATGTTGTTTATTTTCAACATGACCGCATTTCCATAGCAATCACAACGTGCAGGAATAGACAAAAGTGCTTATGCAAAGATCTCACCATATTCTAAACCATATTGTTTATATTATATGAAATTGCGTTTTATATCAAGTTCTTATTAGGTTTAGAAAATGGGTCTCGGTGGTCGCCCCTGTCCTGAAGTAAATGGAAGAAACAGTTTATCTTCGACTTTGCTGCGTTAAACAAACAAATCACGGAGTGCCACATTTTTACGACAGCACAGTTTTGACAATGGAAAGTGGCCCGTCCCTTGGAGCGTAAGTGGTACCAGATGGGCAGCATAAGCATTCCAGGGAGGGAGACTCCCAGTCTCAGAGAGTACGGCCTTTTACGGCGTCAGGATCCGGGAGGATCAAAGTGGCAATGTGAGGGACCGTACGGCTTTGGTGTTGTTCTTACTGGGTGGTCAGTGTCTTCACAAGGGGAACGTGAGAGAATAGTGCTAGGGTGTTGATTGTAATCCCCCTTTTCGTTAGTCTTAGTGAGAGTTTTACGGCCTTGCAACCCCTCCCACCCCAAAAAAGGTCATTTAAGTGCCGAAGATTAAAAGTGCAGTGTTACTAAAGAGTACCATAAAAAGAAGAAAAAAATTATAAGATGGAGGAGAGATAAAGATTTTAGACGTTTGGTAAGTAAGAAGGATCAAACCACACCAAAGTGCCAGCCAACCACCCACCCCGCTGACACTCACCCGTTGATACAGTTGAAATTATCCAAGACGGCCTCCTAGTCTCCAGGAGAAAGGTATATTATATTTCTTAGACAAGAAGGCGTCTTGGACAATGTTATCATACATGGAATATCTTTTTTTTTTAAACCC